ATCTGTTCCGATACTGGGTTGATAAAGCAGCAGAATCGCTAGACATAACTAGTTCTACCAGCATCTTTAAGAAAGTTGTCCCGAAACTTGCACTGACAAGTCCGATGCTCATGAACGCCATCTTCATGATATCCGGGCAGTGTATTCTGCGCTTCGATCCGTATTTCCCCACTAGACCGTATGAGTACCACGAAAGAATACTGCAGAGTCTCATACCGTATCTCGCAAAAAAGAGAAAAATAGAAGACGAAGCGACTTTGGTGGCTGCGATGCTATTGCGGAACTTTGAAGATTTTCACTGTATGTCAACATGAGTCAGGATAAATGTTATTCTGCTGACAGTCAACTAGCCGGTACACAGGGGCAGACACATCTCTCCACATTTGAGCTCTTCTATGGCCTTGAAGGCTGGGTTTTCGACATGGCTAGTCCTGTGGTACAGGCTGCTCTAGTGCTACATGTGCATGCTGAAGTTAGCCAAGCATTACTCAATCAACCAAGTCTGCGTATCGACTATGAGTCGTTCATTCTACCAGCGCTAGCCTCACCGGTTGACGAAGCCTCATGGAGCAATCGTATATTATGGCTGAGTGCGCGCATCCTGCAGTGGGCGCAGAAAGGCATGCGCACAATGGACAATTGGCTCTATCTTCACAGTCTGGTTGACGAGTGGGAACGGAAACGCCCCACCAGTTTTGATGCCTTCTTCTATCAAGAAGAAAACTCGCACGCCGCGGGAACCCCCCCGCAACTGTGGTTCTCAAGTGCTTGTCACGGTGAGTCAAAGTAATTGCTAGCCTGCGAATTGCTTGCTGACTTGCCTACAGCGGATGCGAACCAACACCTGCGGATATGCCGCATCGCACTTGCAGTCAATAACCCTAGGATAAACACGCAAGACGCACGTGGGATAATCATCGCAGATTCTGCACACGATGAAGTGCTGAGAGGGTTGAAAGAAATGATAGCTATTGCTCGGTGCAATACGCACTGTATTTCTGCGCAGTGGAAAGCCGCTTATACAATACATAAGTTTGGCACCGTACTGCAGGATGAGCAAGTTCGATGCGAGATGATCGAATTTCTAGAAGAGGTGCAAGCCACAGGCATGCCGGCGGGAGCGTCGATTAAGCATCTCAAAGAGCAGTGGAATTGGAGCTGGAACCACTACGGGATAGGAATGAATCAATTGTAGCAGGAGCTATGTGACTTGGGCTGTCGCCAAGATCACCTGGTTAGCGACCCAGCTAGGAACAAACTGCCCATAGCCACACCCACGAAAGTGATGAGAATGATTCGGCCCTTCCCGGTCAAGGCGAGATAGGACATGACGCCTACAATAAGCTCCCATCGTCGAGCGGCGTCCCTTCTGGCTTTCCACTGTGGGTTGATCTCGAAGGGTGGCCGGGACAGAACATCGTTCACGTCCAGCTTGATAGGCTTCTCGTCAACGCGAACCGAGAGAGCTACCGGTCGATGATCCGATGTCGGCTGTACCGGTAAAGCAGTATAAATCTGGGGTTCTAGGTCTGATGCAGATCCAGACGGAAGATAGAGAATACGATCACACCACGAGGGATATCGGTGCTTGGACCATTCCCACGAATCATTGTCTCCTGTATTCTTGCCGTGTGGAGTGGCGTACTTGTATGTAGGTGGGAAATTGATAGGCAGTTCCTGGAAACCATGTAGCGTGCGTTTGGCGTCCTTCTCTCTCATCAGCTGGTCTTTCTTCAGCAATTGCGAGTAATGCTGTGGCGAAGACTCGGACGCGGTGGGCTGAGGATAGGATTCATGCGCTCCTTCATCTGGCGGGGTATCGTGCGTGCGGTAGTTGAGATCTCCGTAGAAGAAGACGTGGTTGCCAGGTGTGAAGAGGCCGTTGTGGTCGGCTGGGGTCTCGGACGAGGAGTCAAGCAGCGGTCTCTCTTCACTCGAACTGTATGGGGAGTCGTCGCTGTTGACGAAGACCAAGTTCCGGACCAGATTTTCCCAGTCTTTGTTCCTTGCATCCACGTTGCTCTCCATGGGCGCGAGATGAGCAGCGGCAAAAGTCAGATCCAGCGTGTCATCGGAGCCTGGGCAGGACAGGCCAACGCGCATGGCTACTGCGCCCTTGTTTCCCATGTTGGAGAAGCCGACACCGGCGCCTGCCGATTGTATCCATTGTATCCTCTGTGTGACGTGGGGTTTCGCGAAGAGCATCAGGGCGGTCATGCCCAGGCTGCGCGTCGCAATGTGTTGGAGCGATTCGCTGCCATTACTGCGGAGGTCTGCGGCAAGCTGGACAGTGGTCGTCACGCGGTCAAAGTAGGGCTTCAGATAAGATCCTCCGAGGAACGAGTAGGCGATGGGTGCGATTTCCTGCAGCGAGATGGCGACGATGTCAGGCAGAGGGGTATCTTTGGGAAGGGCATCGAACAAGGAAGGCGCGAGAGACTGCGGGTCGACCAGGTTCCGGGCAGCATTGAAGGTGAGGAGGTATAGCTCGAACATGACGGGTCACGATGGTGCCGCGTTGCTGGATGCGCGTCGGTCAGCACAATTACGGCTTGTTGAGGGCGATCACCATGCAGAGTTTAGACGAGATCTTGGAAGGTACCAACAGGGCGAGCGATGATATTGATAATATCTAAATGTTGCGCGTCGTGGAGTAGGCGCGTCTTGTGCCAGGTGAGTGGAATGGCTGCAGCGTGGGGCAGCAGGCGGTCAGGATTTGCTGGAGCTTCCCCCAGCCATGTGTAGTGCGGAGAGGAGAAACGGTTAGGGCGGCTCCACTGTAGCTCTGGAGGTGGAGTGCCAACAGCGACGGTGTGTGATTTATATGGAGACGCTGGTAGAGGACAGGCCAGAAGCCCAGGATGCAGTGTGCGGAGGTGGGAGTACATGCGGGATGAGCTCGCCAAACCCTTACCCTGCATACAGCTGTCGTCAGAGGCGTTTCGTCAGTCAACAAAACGCGGTGGGGGACAGCTCGAGCTCTTGGAAGGACCAAAATAATTGGGAGCTGCTTGGGCATCGTGAGCTTTTCTTCTGACGTCTGCATTTGATCCGTCTTTTCTCTTGCCCACTTCACACTTCTTACGTCTTCACAGTGCCTTGAGATTCAAGCTCCCCTCACATCGACCCGAGAGCCTTCTAGAATCACCATAGATATTCATCCCCACTTGACGTCTACAGTCACCCTCTTAATTCAGAGCCTCCCCACAGCCCTTGCTGCACTCAATTGATTTGAACACTCTACTACAGCCATGTTCAGGTCTCAAGTTTTCCGTCAAGTCGCTCGCGCGGCCCGAGCCCAAGCTCCCCGTTCAGCGTTCCGACCAACACAGCCAGCCATTTCCTCGCTGCGACACTTCACTTCATCGCCTAGCCGCTTCGACAAAGACCCCAACAATGATGAGGTCGATGCGGCAACAACATCGGGTGAGCCTGGTGAGAGTGGAGACCACGAGGGTCAGTATGCTCGAACCCGAGACGACATTGTCGTAGAATACCCAGAAGAAAAGGACCTGCCACCTTCAAATCCCGTCGTGGGCCGAGGAGGAGAGCATTTCAAGCGCACCCTGGCCTCCTTCTCCATGGAAGGCAAGGTAGCCGTTGTCACCGGAGGAGCTCGAGGTCTCGGTTTGGTCATGGCGCAGGCGTTGGTGACCTCCGGAGCCGATGTAGCCATCGTCGACATGAACAAGGAAGAGGGTGAGCGATCAGCGAAGGGTCTCATCGATGTCTATCAGAAGGAGAATCCTGGATCCAGGAGGTGAGAGCATCGTGTGCAATTACTCGGCTTGGACTGACCCGAGATACAGAGTCCCCAAGGTTACAGCACATTTCTGCGATGTCTCAAGTCCTACGTCTGTCAACCAATCCTTTGCTGAGATTCTGAAGAAGCACGGCAAGGTCGATAACCTTGTTACATCGGCTGGCTTCACCGAGAACTACGACGCCATCTCTTACCCGCATGACCGCATACAGAAGCTTTGGGGAGTCAATGTCGACGGCACCTACCTGTACTCTGTCGCTGTCGCGAAGCATCTCATGGAGAGGAAGGCACCGGGAAGCATTGTCATGATCGGCAGCATGTCGGGAGCCATAGTTAACGTTCCGCAACCACAGGCTCCATACAACGCCGCCAAAGCAGCTGTCCGACATCTAGCATCCAGTCTGGCGGTTGAATGGGCAGGTGCTGGCATTCGCGTCAATTGCATCTCGCCCGGATACATGCTCACTGCGCTGTAAGTAAATCAATAGGCGATGAACGTGTGGTCGCTGATTACCATGTAGGACCAAGAAGATTCTCGATGACAACCCGGATCTCCAGAAGCAGTGGACTTCCCTGATCCCCGTTGGTAAGATGGGACGTCCCGAGGATCTGATGGGAGCTGTCACTTTCTTGTCTAGTGACGCGAGTTCCTACGTCACTGTAAGTGATCTCCAGATAGGCTGATGAGCTAAAGCTGACCAGACACAGGGTGCCGATCTCCGAGTCGACGGAGCTTACACATGCACATAAGCCAGAGGTTGATGTACTTTGTGGGGAGTGAAGAGGAGTGGGACGTTGAACAGATGTAAGATAGTCATGTAACAGATATGCTCTCTATCTGGGGCGATAATTTGTGGTCGGTCTGGCGACTCAAGGCGATACGCTAGCTCTAATAGCTATCCACATCATCTTCAATTAATCAACCGTTGACACGATGCGCTCCATGCCTGCGCATGCCTAGGTGAACTTGCATGTCTTGGTCAGGAAGCAGGGTTGGGAAGTGGCATTGTCTCAGACAGACTTGGTGCATCGCGTCTTAGTCATGTCCGCATTTCAGCTCTTGTGGCCGTGCGCTGTGGCGCATGTGCGACAACTCCGCCAACGACGGCCCTGCATAAAGCTCCAGTCTCTCTCAAGCCGCTCCCCAAGGGCTTTATTTGTCGCGCCATGTGGCATGAATAGTGACATACTACAGTATAACTGACAATCGCTTTGTCTCCTTGGCCGGCCCGAAGCCATGTTCAACATCTCGAATTTGGTGCAGAAGGCCCAGCAGTACATTGAACCCACGCTCAATACCATAGCCGCTCCCGCATCGACAGACCGCCGACCCTCAAAAGCCACTCTCTTCCGCTACCAGTTCCGGCTCCCCGACTCGCAGAATCCCCTCCAGGAGATCACCGCTGAGCTCACGCTTCAACCCCACCATTCCACGAGGGGCCCCGGCGACGTCACATCTGAGAAGGAGCGCAGCCAGGGCAACCACTATGTGGGCAAGCTGCACCTTAGCGAGCAGTATCTATGCTTCTCTACACAGGGCTCGAGCTTTGCCAATACCGCGAGCCTGAGCTCTTCCAGCAGCTTCACGGGGCAGACTCATGGGGCGGGACCTGCGGGCAACGGTTTCACATTACCACTATGCGGCATACGACGGGTAGAAAGACTGCATAGCCAGAGTTACATGTTCGCGCTCGCCATCACGACGTGGAACGGCATACCAGACTCAAAGTCGCAGGCGCCTGCTGGCCAGAAGCTTACGATCCAACTCGCGGGGTCGCGACAGGCATGCGAGCGCTTCTGCGATGCTCTGAAGAAGGGGCTGCGGGAGGGAGTCAAGGAAGTGGATAACCTGCGCAAGGTTGTGGGGCAATGCTACTCCGAGTATCTTCTCACAGACGCCGAGGAGAAGAAGGCCGGGGAGGATGGCAAGCAAGCGCGAGAGCATCCAGATACCGGCCTAGGCATGATCTTCAAGTATCCAGGCAACGCGCGGAAACTCAGGGACGCGACAAAGATACGGCTGTGGCGCGAGTATCTCAGAGGTATATCCGCTCAGCCCGCGCAGTGACATCGCTGACATGTAGTAGACAACGGACGAAGCGCGACCCTCATCCGACAACCCACTTTCCACAAGCTCATCCGTGTCGGTCTGCCGAATCGATTGCGAGGCGAGATGTGGGAGCTCACGTCCGGTGCCTTCTTCTTGCGCCTACAGAACCCAAACCTCTATACCGAGACCCTACAGAAGTTCTCCGGGCGGGAGTCGTTAGCCATCGACGAGATTGAAAAGGATCTCAACAGAAGTCTGCCAGAATACCCGGGTTTCCAGAGCGAAGAGGGTATTGGTCGGCTCCGACGAGTGTTGACGGCATACAGCTGGACAAATGAGGAGGTTGGTTATTGCCAGGCGATGAATATTGTGGTCGCAGCATTGCTCATGTATGTGTACCCCTTGATGCGCAGCTTCTCCCACCTAACAGACCAAGTTACATGTCCGAATCGCAGGCCTTTTTCCTCCTTTCCGTGCTGTGTGACCGTCTCCTGCCCGGCTACTACTCGCAAACCATGTACGGCACCTTGCTGGACCAGAAGGTCTTCGAATCGCTGGTTGAGAAGACTATGCCCATACTATGGGACCATCTGGTTAAATCAGACGTACAGTTGTCCGTTGTCTCATTACCCTGGTTTCTTTCGCTCTATATCAACTCTATGCCTCTAATCTTTGCTTTCCGCGTTCTTGATGTTTTCTTCCTCGAAGGCCCAAAAGTTCTCTTCCAAATCGGCCTGGCCATCCTGCGCATCAATGGCGAGGAGCTGCTCGATGCCGCAGACGATGGCTCCTTCATTTCAGTCTTGAAGTCGTACTTCTCAAGACTCGATGAGTCCGCCCACCCCAAGTCAGAGAATCCTAAACTGCGAGCTGTGACTCGCTTCCAAGAGCTCATGGTAGTAGCATTTAAGGAGTTTGCTGGCATTACCCAAAACACCATCTCTGAACAGCGAGCAAAGCACAAGGATGCCGTGCTTGAGAACATCGAAAGTTTCGCTAAGCGCACGTCGATACGTAATCTCGGTCCCGATAGCAAGAAGCTGAGTGTGAATGACCTCGGGTTCCTGTACGACAAATTCTATGCCGTGCTGTACGAACGACAACAAAGAGCAGAGATCATGCAACAAGAGGCCGATCGCAAGGCAAAGGCGAGTAGGATGAAGGCGACAGAGGTTGTGACTGGTATATCTGGAAGCGCGGAGAAGGGCCGTGTGGCACTCGGTCCTAGCCCTACACAAATGGATTACGATGCCTTTAGGGAGTTCCTCGCTGGTAAGTTTGAAATATCATCAACCCGCGTGTTTACTGACTGTGACTGAGGCATCGCGAAGTGGGCAATTACTGATTCACCGAGCTCTCCACCGGAAAGCAGTGGTACCCAGTCTCCTCATTCGTACTTTGGAAACAGCTTGAGAAAACGACCACCAATGTCCCCATGGGGATCAGGACCAGAGCCAGCAGACCATGAGTTTATGCGACGCTTGTTCCGACGCTGGGATGTAGACATGACCGACTCGCTATCGCTGCAGAATGTTGTCACTGGGTTTGCGCATGTCAAGGGTACCAAAGACATCATGTCCAACATCAGCTATTTCTTCGAACTATACGATGACGATGGCGATGGCAGGGTAGATCGGGAGGGCATCTTGAGGATCTCAGAAGCCCTACTGTTTTTGTCAAGGCGAGGCGTCCACGACCCGACTCCAAACGCGTCTTCACTGGACATAAGTTCTACGGCAGGCTCAGAACGTGTCGGTCGAGACGAACAGTTCTTGAGCAGCGTCTCCGCCTTCATTCGGCATTGCTTCGAATATGCCGATCCCGATCATCCATCGAACCAGACGAATAAAGCCGTCGAGCAGGTTCAAGAAGAGGTCGACAACTTTGCAATTGGCGATGATGACGAAGAAGATGACTTGATCGACTTTGGCTCTGAGCCAGCAACACCAAAAGCCAAGGCGACGACGTTCGAGAAGTCAGAACAAAACCCACTGTCACCAACGCCATCGAACCACACTACCGAGTCAGACGTTGCAGAGCGCAATGACAAGGCCAAGTCGGCAAACCTTGCGCTGGATCCGAACAAGCCTTTACATATAACCTTGCCTACTTTCCGCATGGTCATCCTTGCAGACGACGCCTTACTGAACTTCTTCGAAGTTGGGTTTTCATCATCTTTCCGCCTGGCCGACGAGACACTCTCGTCAGGTTCCAGTTTCCACAACCTCACCACTTTTGCGAATGCTGGAAGACAGGGCGGTGGTGGTGGCGGATTGGGTGGCGTTGTTGGCGGCGCTGGGGCGGGCGTTGTGCCGCCTGGAAAGGGCCTGCGAGGCATGCTCGACAACATCGTCAACGACGGCATGCGTGTCGCGACTGAGGTCAGAAGAAGATACGATGAAGCACAGAAGGAGCTGGACAAGGAGGCACGGCATGGACGCGAGGATGAAGAAGACGAAGAGGAAGTTGATGCGAAAGATTTAGACCTGTTAGAAGGTGCAGAGACGGCAGATGTGGGTGCGTCAAAAGGAGAAGCACCGCAAGAACTTTTGTCACCTACAGGTACTGGGGAGGAAATTAAGACGGCCAGAAACCGGTCGGCTAGCGATGCGAGTAGACGGGTACTTGAGTTTGAGAGGTAGCATTTGGGATACGGTATGAGTGGTCCGCTTGGAGTCAGGAATCATCTCAAGACCTTACTTCTGGTCTTTCCCATCACTAGACTTGTGTATGAAACCGTTTGAAGTTCGTTGCTGTTCGTTGTCTCTCAACAACCATGTCTGATGTCTCGATGGGGGAAGCCCCACCCTTGACGGCTAGCTATCCGACGTAAACCGCGTGTCTTTAGCTCCCTACAGCTACCCCGCAGAATCATGTACTGGCCCGCGGCTCAGTTCCGAATGAAGCTCACTAAACAGCTTTCTCCACACCGAAAACAATCTCCCGATGTGCACATATCTTTCCTTACATCCGATGCATTCTCCGTGCGAAGATGATCCGGTCGCTCTTTGCTCGTGCTGCAAGGTCCCCTAAATCTACCCATTGCACGCGACGAGGTCTCCTTACACAGGCATACAGTGTAGGACCTACTGAGGTATCTTCCGAGCTTTCCGATGATGTGATTGTAGAGACTGACGTTAGAATAGCCGCCATTGCTGGAGAAGACTGTGCCGCAGCACTTTGCGGGGGTTGTGAGGCAACATGGCGACCGTGACGCGTACATGTCCTTCCCAATGAAGCTCCAAGGACGAGCTGGCTAACGTTTAAGTAGAGTAATATCACATCACCAACGCATACGCTTGACTTACGACGCGCTTGATCGCGACTCGAACAAGCTTGCAAGAGGACTGCAGAAGCTTGGCGTGAAGAGGGGAGACCGAGTTGCTGTTAGCTTGGGGAACAATGCTGAATTCGCTACTCTCACATATGCGCTGTTCAAGCTCGGCGCGATACTGGTATGTAGAGTTCGATTAGACGAAAAAGTAGTTGCAGCTAACAAATACATAGGTACCACTGAATCCCTCGTTCAACGCGCCCCAAGTCCTTAACGCTATCAACCATCTCGACGCCGCACATCTCATCATCGGAGCCGAAACGAACCTCCCTCGCAAAGAACCACGATCCAACATCTCACTCCTCACGCACTTGATCCCCAATCTCGCCGGCTCGAGCCTCGAATCCGAACTTGTTCCATCACTGAAGAATGTCGTGCTGGTAAACAACGCGCAAGGTCGAGTGGATCTGGACGAGTACAGGAGTTTAAAGAGGTACGAGCACGTCATCGAAGATGGTGGCCAGGACAACGCGTTTGAAGACCAAGGGTTACATCCAGACGACATTGTGAACATTCAGTTTACGTCTGGGACGACGAGCATGCCAAAAGCTGCGTGTTTGAGTCACAAGAGTATCTTGAACAATGGCAATAGCATCGGTGACAGGATGCTGCTGACACCGGACGACGTCGTGTGCTGTCCGCCTCCATTGTTCCAGTAAGTTCTCGTGGGTCCCAGCATCAACATTACCTGACCCTCCGTAGTTGCTTTGGATGCATTCTCGGGTACATGGCTACAGCTACGCACGGCAGCGCTATCGTCTTTCCAACCGAAGCCTTCAACGCCCTCGCCACACTCGAAGCCGTTCGCGAATACAAATGCACAGCCCTTTACGGGGTACCCACCATGTTTGTAGCCGAACTCGAGCTGCTGGCTCACGGTGCCGTGCCTAAAGATGGCTTCCAGTACCTCAGAACCGGCATTGCAGCAGGCTCTGCGATTCCTTCTGAACTCATGCGCAAACTACACAAGAACCTGAACTTGACCGAGCTGACAATCTGTTACGGCATGACCGAGACTTCTCCCGTATCAGCTATGACCACCACGGATGATCCTATCGAAAAGCGCATCGATAGTGTTGGTCGCCTCCTCCCGCATGTTCGTGCCAAGGTCGTCAATCCATCAGACTGGTCGCAAACCCTCAACGTAGGTCAGCGCGGCGAACTCGCCGTATCGGGCTACCTTGTAATGAAAGGATACTGGGGCGACACAGCACGCACAGAAGAAGTTCTGCAGCCAGATGAAGACGGAAGGTTGTGGATGCACACTGGTGACGAGGCATCCATGGATGAAGAAGGCTATATCAAAATTACTGGCAGGATAAAAGACCTGATCATCAAAGGAGGCGAGAACATTCATCCTCTGGAGGTAGAGAATTGTCTCTTTGCTCATCCTGCTATCAGTGAGGTTAGCGTTGTAGGCCTGCCGGACGAGCGTTATGGCGAGATCGTTGCAGCGTTTGTAGTCAGACATGCGGGCGATGAAGGGAACGTGACTGCAGATGAAGTGAGAAGTTGGGTCCGGGAGAAATTGAGCCATCACCTAGGTAAGTCGATGTATGCCCAGGCTTTTGAAGCTTAGACTCCGGACCCGAGTAAGAGCGACGCTGACTGCAGGATTCAGTGCCGAAGTATGTATTCTGGGTGGACAACTATCCCAAGACCGCCAGTGGAAAGATACAGAAGTTCAAATTAAAAGAGCAAGGTATCGCATTGCTACAGGAAGGGAAAGGACTGGTCTAATCCGCCATAAGCCTTACGTCCTGTAATGAATCAATTCGTACGATATAGCGGACCCGATGACTAATTCACAACAGAGACTTTCCTACCAGCTGCATACTTTAATTTCAATACCTTCTTGGCCCCAAAGTCCGGCAAAAGTCCTCTAGCTAAGCTCCTTCGGGTTTATCCAATCGACTAATGACATGGTACAGTACTTCATGCGAGTGAGATTAGGTAGGTGGGTCGGTTTATCCTGATGCATGTAGCCGAGGGCTTTGTGTAGCTTGGGATTACCTTCCTTTCCCAACATGGTCAAGAGTGCCTGCGAGAAAATTCGTTGCCGATACTGTGCATCACTGCGGGCACTTGTGTGGTGTCGGGCGAAGTTGGTCATTAATAAATGTACATGTTGCAGCTCGCCTCACATTCGAGTCTGTAGGTTGGTTGATCGCTAAAACTCGACGTCTTTTAGCGCGTATACGTCTACATACGTTTTGTTTGACTCGTACAGTACTCCGTCTCTATTACCAATCTGTCCGGAACGATCATTTCCTACTGACGGATTGAGTCTCTCGTTTAAGTCACGCCAAAACAAACACCAAGATGTCCCAACCAACCAACACAAAGACACCTACTCCCTCCAACCCCTCGTCTCTAAAGCCCCGCTATGAGATACGCAAACTGGAACCTAAACATATTCCCTGGGCCACAGCAATTCTGGCTCACAGCCATGCTTTCCATTCATCAGTCTGGCAGTACATTTGGCCAGACCGGGTACTCGGCCGCTGGGCCTTGAAAGGTGCTTCACAGATGGAATATCTCGTGGAACACCAAGTCAACTCTGGGCTCTCATACGGTGTCTTTGACACGGAATACAAGTTCAAAACCAAAGAGGCCGAAGAAGTTGGTGGGAAATTGTTCTGGGATGCGAATGAGCCAGAAGAAGCTAGTGTGGAGCAAACCCAAGGACGCAAAGCAGAAGGCATGCGATTGCTCCAACAGATGGATTTTCCGTTGGTCAGTATAGCTTTATCGTACGATGGATTTAATGGGCTTGATCCCGCAAGGATGGGACCGCTGCTCAAATTGTGGCCCGAGTTTACTGTGTTGTACGGTACTCTGGAGAAGCGCGACCCGAGAGATACTTCGGAGTGGAAACCTACTGCACCGAGGCAGGTGTTGATGCGCAACGCCACGTCTACACGCCACAACTATGAGGGCGAGAAAATTGCGTCTGGTGCGGCGCGTTGGCTGAGGCGCGAGGCAAAGTTGATGGGCTTCCGAGGCATTCAGATCGAGTGTATGGCAAACGCTGTAACGTATCTCTGGAGTGATGGTGTTGAGGAGCCGTTCAAGGGAAGGGTGATTAGTGAGTTTGACACTGAGATTCTCGAGATTGAGAATGGGGACAAGCCGTTTGGGTTAGCGAAGCAGAGGGTTACCAAGTGTTGGGTCGACCTATAAACATGGTAGTGACTGAGACGGCAATGGAGAAATAATATATGAAAAGCAGACGGGCAGTATATTATGTGATGGTTCTTATCAATCAATGACGTTGCCTTGGGGATCGTGAAGTCATAAGATAGAACTGAATGAACTATGACCTTCAATGCTCTGGTACCGTCCAGCGCTCAAGCAGCACATCAACGACGTCTCGATTGCCTGGATCAAAAGGTTCTTCGATCTCGAATATCTGTTTTCTCTTCTTCTCCCTCTGTAACGAAGTACTGTATGCACCCTCGAGACCGACATCTAGAGTACTTCTTGTACGTCGTATCTTGTTATCACGAGGACGGTCGGCTTCTTGCTCCGGTTTATCATCCGACGGAGGGTGTACCACTAGGGTGCGCGTGTCGTTTGGAATCGAAGGTGTCTCCTGGGCGTGAGGGTTCCTCTGACGAACGGCATCCGACACAATGGGACGCGACTCCGGACGACCCCAGCCACTTATGCGCTTTGGCTTTTCGATAATCGGTACTTCAGACTTGTCTAAGGCTGTGTCGGACTGTTGTACAGGTATGCCACCTTTACGTTTAAGCAGCAGATTGCTTGGTGTACGCTTAGGCAGGATATTCTCTAGAGAACTAGGGCGATGTTGCTCTTTGCTCTTCCTTAGCTTAGGTTTAATAACACCTGGAGCTACACGGATACTAATGCCAGATTCGCTGCGACGCCGTGAACTAACCGTAGCTGCAAGTGAAGCTTGTTCGACGTCCTTCGATCGCACCAAGAAGTGCATCATTGCAGCATTCGATAAGGAAACTGCTTCGGAGTTCATGTTTGGTACAATATGATTGGAATGGGATTGAACCACTTCTGGTTGCGGTTCATTTAGGTGTTGTCGTGGTGGAAGCGGTGACATTGGTTGCTGCTGTCGAGGCACTACTGGAAACGGCGTGCTCTCAGACCGGACATGAAGAAAACTGTCAAAGTCAAAGTTCTCTAGAGCGCCCCCTCCCATGTCACCCAAGCCCAATGCATGATTGTATTGGTTCGAAGACCGTGTGGCCGGAGACCCATACCTTGATGGACCCATGGCTTGAGTAACATTAATACCTGATTCAAACTTGCGGCAGAAGCGTTGGTATATTTTGCGTACGCGTCGCTTCTGATGGGGTTTCTGGTCGTTTTCGAGGCTCTTTTGAAGCACTATAATGCGCCTGAGCAGTTTTGTAACGTGCTTCGCCGCTTTTGATAGTTCCTCTCTGGATATATGCTCATCGTCTTCGTCCGTCATTGTGGCGTCGCTGTCGGAGGTATCGGAATCGTCTGTAGCAGAGATATCGATAGTGACAGTGTTTGTCTGGGACTCTATGTCCTTCTCCAGAGGTGACAGTTTCATGGTTTGAGCCTTAGCCATGAGCTCCAGTGTTGGAACACGGGAGGCGTTGCTTGATCCTTGAAGAGTCTCTACGTCGTCGATTGCAACACCGCAAAATTTGCTTTCTAGGGCTTGTAGGCTTTTAATTGAGTCCTGCTGCCGTTGGTGAAGTTCACGGATTTTGTCTCGCTCTTCTTCCATGACGCTCTTTTCCATTTTGCTACGGCTGCTGTCAGCTGCATTTCATGCGCGGCGGTGGAATTCTTGACTCACCCTCGCGACTGACCTTGCGCCAATTGCAACACATGCAACAAGAGTACAAGACTGTTCTTTAAGCTTTCTAGCCTCTTCCGATGTAGTTCAACCCGCTGTTCTTTCATCGGCCATGCCAATTTACCCACCATACTCAGGGTCTTCTTTCCGTCCTTTCCTGTCTTCCTTCTCTTCTCCGCCATCTCCGATAGTTCGTCGAAAACGCCCTGGCACTTTTTGATTATGTTGTGGGCGTCCTGGACAGCTTTCGTCGAGATGATCGACTTTGCGTCTTCAGACTCAAACAGCTTTCCTACGCTTTCGAGCGCGTTGGACGTGAGCTCTACATCGTCGGCGATGTCCCTAATATCTTGGTCTGCTCAGGCAGCTGAGCCCGTGAAGTTGTATAATGTGACGCTGAGTTTGGCTCCAGCCCCCGCGATCTGAATGATGCTAGCTGCGAGGCCTACGACTTCGGCCATCGTAGGGTAACCGCTGCGCAACCATTACTAGTGTGTTTAAAAGTATCGCGTCGTTGTACTGATCATATGGAGGGCGAGGATAAAGGTGGTTCAAGGTCAGGGTAGGATTCACAAACAGGCTGAGCCCCTGCTGCGGCTGAGGCGCATGCTGCATACCTTGCATGGCTTGCTGTGGGGCCGAAGTGAGCAACTGCATGATCCTACGAGATGTGTAGAGGCGCCAGCATTTCCACTTAAGTTGATTACCGTATGCCTCAAGTGCGATGAAACCAAGCGTCACTATGTAGGCAATAGTGTAGATGCTCTCATTATGTGTGCTTGCTGGTCTAGATTCTTGAGGGTGCACTTCACCGAGCAACACTGATATTGGGCGCCTCGGCCAATCTAGCAAGACGAGCTTCTCTTGATAGAGGACAATTAACACTTTCGCAATTTCTTCTGGCGATGTATAGAACGCATGTCGCATCCCTTGGGTTGGATAATTGTAAATCGTGCAGAATGATTGAAGAGTGGTTCTGGAAGTAAAAGACACAAAGGGTGTAGACATTACGTTCCGGAGCTAGGTTTTGGGTATACGGTGGAACAATATCGTGGTGTAGAAAGAAAATACATTAGCGGCACAGCACTTGTGCCCCTTCGTCCATCATCTTCTCATCTAACATGTACGAGTTCGGGCGTTTGCTGATAGTAATCCTGCTGGCCATTGCCATAGGCGTATGTCGCTTGCTGCTGCATAACAGGCACATATACTGGCTCGGTCTTCTCGATCGTCTGGCTCCAGGAGATGTGTTTGGCGATGCACATCAGAGTCACAAAAGTCAGAATTTGTGACAATGCCGAGATGAATGACAGGGCAATCATTGCCTCATTCGAAACAGAAGATTCATAAGGCCAGAAGTAGAAGGACGAGAAGACGATCCCTAATACGGAGTAGACGAACAAGGTGATATAAAGAGCCGTTACCCAGCCGATGAGATCCTACAAATTTGTTAGTGGATGCAATAGTAGAACGTATTTGCCGTCAACTTACGCCTCCGGGTAAGCGTCGTGATCTCAATGCAGAGACATTCGACAGCGAAAAGGCCGCAGAGATGATGACGCTAATCAACCATAAGATATCGACTGTGAGGGAGAAGGCTTGTGCAGTGACCATCGTGAGAGCAAAGTCGAAGTTCCAGTACTTGCTACTTATCGAAACGTAGCTGGAAAGTGCCAAGTCCGCAATCATGACAGCGGCCATGACCCCAATGATGATCCAAGACACGGTCTTAGATCCGGAAGATGTAGTTTCGAGTTGCTTAAGTAGCATCGAGTTTAGGATGTAGACGAAGATGACGAGCAGCATCCAATTAGCCAGGCGGGACATGACGTTGGACGCTACCGATAAATTCAGATAGTCGTCGACGCTCAGGTCACTGCACTGATACATGAGCTCGCCTATGAGAACCAAAAGGCGCGAGCTTAGAACAGTCAGCATTTATGGAGTCTGTGATGCAGGAGTCAGACTTACAGAACTTGGAAGAAAAGTGCGACGACGAAGGGTACGCCAACCAATTTCTTTCCGCCCTCGCTCTTCCTGCGAACGAAGAATGTCGCGATGGAGAGCCCCAGGAAAAGGACAAGGAATACCACATCGTATGCGAGGCTGGCTTGGGCAAGTGGTGAAATGAAAGCTCCCGAACATGTTGAAGTCATATATCCGGCGCCACTACCACCCCCGCGTCTTGGTGCCATGATGAACGTCGTGTGGTGATGCAAGCGCAAATCTGGAGGTTCAACTGTCGTTGCGGTCGCTGGTTGGAGGCTCCGGGAGTATAGTGACACAGTTGGATGCTCAAGAGATGATGAAGCGCAAAACACGGTTCACGGCACTTGAGAGTATTTCAGCATTATCGTCTGCATGCTATGTTCGTGCTGCGCCTCTTAACAGCCTGCATCGTTCCCGTAATTCTCATTTTGCGAATAGGATCAGGGGCATTCGAGGCGTCGCTAAGCCATTCAAAGCACTTGTTGGCCGCCTTGACTGGTCCCACAAGGGTGGAAGCGAAGGTGCGCGACATTCGATGGACGCCTTAAATGGGACCTGCAGCCTCGGCGCGTAGGGTCGCAGCGTGTCAGCCCATGATCCCAGTGGTTCTGATGAAGTAGATACTGAGGGCACGGCGATTCTTTGTCGCCGCTAAGTCATGAAATGCGAAGGGGAGAGCTGATTAAAGAGACCCCGGGCGAGAGTTTATTCCGACCCCGATCCCGAAACGGCCGGGCTGTGTTGAAGCTAGCAGCGGTGCGCGGGTAGTCGGAGGTTTGCGTGCGGCGGCTTAAATATCGAAGGCACGGTAGGTTACAAAGTGGGACGATGGGTGGGACAATGCGACGAAGCCTAGGCGCCCTTACAGGGACGGCGAGGTGGCTGGAGAAACACGTGACGTGGCGGACACGCGAGCGGATGAGCTTCCGCGATGCAAGGCTCGGCATTACATCATGTACATCTTCATCTTTGATTAAAATATGAAAGGCACTTCCCAGCAGCTGCTATTGACGGGCACCGGTTCTCTCGGAGACACTCTGTCAGCTGTCTTGGTTTATCTCACCAAAACCTGCCTGTCGTCTTACATCTGGTCGTGAATTCGCAAAGTCCGCCCGTTCCGATGATTCCGTTACAAGGGACCCGTGCCACAGCTTCGTTTTGACAGCCACGAACGTACAGATCGACATCAGCCAGACAGTATATATCGCCAGGCTTCCGTTCGTCAATAAACCAACCATCGAACCATAAACAACGCGACATCAAAGTTAGAAAGCCAAGGCAGCCATCTGACACCGCAGACGCATGAGGGATCGGCAATGACACACGTACTGCAGGGACTCTCGACGCGACCGCCACTCAGCAGTCAGGATACGTGGACGGCCAACGCTGCATCGGAAACCTTGGACGTGGACGGCGCAACGAATTTAAAATCTCAAGATGATGAGCACGCAGAAGAGTCACGAAGTCAAAGCACCACAGCTATTCCGTCTGATGACAGCGGTTCAGAAACGCAGTTGGTCGAAAAGCCAGGAAGCAGGAGAAAGAGTATCCAAGTTGTGCTAGAGCAATCAGGCAAAAAGGGCGAGTATACCTTCACGGCAAAAGATCCAGTTTTCCAAGAGGTTTTGCAGTCCGGGCTGCGGCGAGAGGCCGAGAAACTGAGCGGAAAACTCAAAGGCAAGCCAAGGGATCTCGTCTTTACGCAGCAGTTCACCACATTCGACCGTCAAAATGCTTCCGCTGCGCATTCTCCATTCCATGGGTTTTTCACGTTATTCTGGATCGCGATGGCTCTGCTGCTTGCGCGAATAGCAGCAAAAAACTACAGGACCAAGGGCTCCGTATTTGGGGATGCAGAAATTCTGCATTTGATGATCGACAAAGATTTGTTTGTCATGTTGACAACGGATGTGGTAATGTGTGTGGCGACCAGCTTCGGCTTCTTTCTGCACAAGGCCATAGCCAAAGACTATTTGACGTGGAACGGCTCAGGCTGGCTTATACAGTCTCTGTGGCAAACATTCTTCACATGTACCATTATTTGGGTCACTTTCTGGCGAGATTGGCCTTGGACCCACACTGTCTTCATCGTCTTACATGTCTTCGTACTACTGATGAAGCAGCACGCCTACTCTTTCTACAACGGTTACTGTATGTCATCTGGTCGACCTGGGCAAGTCCTGAGCTAACTATCGACAGTATCACGGGTGTATAGACGACGCAACCTGTTGCGCGAAAAGCTACACCAGCTCGATGACATCAAAGCGAAAGAGGGCCCAACCCAAACTTCTCCTCCGCCTGAGGCGCTGACAGCCTCTGGTGTCAACAGCCCTGACCAAGGTGAGTTGACACAGCGAAGAAGTGTTGGTCCGAAGTATTCGACGAATCTCTCAAAGGAAGAATCGGAGATTGCATCTATTGGGCAAGCTATTGAAGCTGGAAGCCCACTTGATCCAGAACAAATTGAAGCCTTCAGACGCGTGCTCAACACTGAGATCACAATCCTTGACGAGGAACTTCGCGGAAAGTGTACTACGACGGACAACGTCTATCCAAATAACTTGACGTTCTATAACTTCGCGGAGTGGACGTGTCTCCCAACGCTTGTCTACGATCTAGAATATCCTCGCCAGGAGCGCATAAATTGGTGGTATGTCGCTGAAAAGTCGGCTGCCACTTTGGGAGTCATCTGGGTCATGATTGTCATCTCGCAAGCATACATCTACCCTGTGGTCGTTGAGACTGTGCGGCACAGAGACGCTGGCATGTCACTGGACGAGCGGTGGAAGGAGTTCCCGTGGGTTGGTAAGTGTTGCACTATCAAGAAATGATGAAGTCTTAACTAACTAGTCTGCCTAACAGTATCAGATATGCTCTTCCCCCTCCTCATCGAACAACTTCTCAGTTGGTACGTAATATGGGAATGTCTACTCAACGTACTGGCAGAAGTCACCAGGTTTGCTGATCGAGGTTTCTACGGCGCATGGTGGAACTCCGTGTCTTTCGATCAATACGCTCGCGACTGGAACCGACCCGTTCACAACTTCCTGCTTCGACATGTTTACCACTCTTCAATCTCTTTCTTCCATCTGTCCAAGATGCAGGCGACGTTTTTTACCTTCCTGCTGAGCGCTATCGTGCATGAGGTCCTTATGTTCTGTCTGTTCAAGAAGGTCAGAGGGTATCTGTTTACATTCCAGTTGACACAATTACCATTGGCGGCGTTTAGTAAGACGAAGTTTATGAAGGGACGGGATACGTTGGGGAACATCGTCTTTTGGTTTGGCCTCTTCATTGGACCCAGTGTCATCACCAGCCTGTACCTAATCGTTTAGACGCACTAGTACGTGGTAGATTTAGAGGTCTCTTCATTGGTTGTTACGCAATTTGCCCAGCGCTGACTTGTGTTTCTCTGATTGGGACTGAGTTATTCAATCTTCTGAAGTATTCGCACCCTTGTTCTTTCCCTCTCTCAATACTTCCAACACCCGTCGCGTCAGCCTGTCGCGCTGACTGACATCTATAGTGCCGTATGCATCCTGAGATTGCCGGAAGATCTTTTTCTCCCACCCGTCCCCGACGTTCGGCTTCCCAGAATCTTGCCAGCAATCTTGCACGGTACCTCCGATATTCTTGAAGAAGCCCTCCAACCCAGCCGGTCCGCCGCCAGCATGATAGCTCTTGAAAGGCCCAGCAATCGCCCATCGCGGCCCCATACTACTCTCCACAATGCTATCCAGTTCCTCTACTGAAACGACTCCCTCGTCGACAAGATGAACTGCTTCGCGCAAGAGCGCAAACGCCAGTCTGTTCGCCACAAAGCCCGTTGTTTCCTTTTTGATATGTATTGGCACTCTTCCACGGAGAGTCCAGAACTCCTGCGTTCGTTGGATGACCTCTTTTGATGTATCTGGCGATGGAACAAGTTCCAGCAATGGCATAATGTGTGGTGGGTTATACGGGTGCACTACCAATAATCTCGATTTGTCCTGCATGTCTTGTGCTTGCTCTGACGCCGGTATTCCGGACGTGCTACTCCAGAATAGGGAATGCTCAGGCGCGTGTTTCTCTACATTGGCCCATAGTTCTTTTTTGAAGGCTAGATTCTCTGGACCTGATTCCTGGATGATATGTGCGTCTTCCACAGCTGATTCGAGGGATGTAGCGATGCGAATATTGGATATAGCAGCTGCTGAAGGCTCTTCTGCGAAGAATTTAGGTAGGTTCTCCTCGACGTATTCATCGACATCTGACCGGGTATCATAGATGGTGAGCTGAGAAGGGCCAAGTAGGTGTGACAGGTGGAACGCGGCGAAAGATAGACCAATAGTTCCGGTGCCAACGAGAGTGATCCTGAGGTCTTTGTTGCTTTCCACCTTCAGTATAGGGTCGTGTTGCGATTCTTCTGCCTCAGACATTTTGGTCGTATAAGTAATGCTTCGCTTCGTCGGGTCGTGGTACGATGTGTGCAAGCTGCAGCGGCCACAAGAAGCTACTGCATCTAGACTTTATGTGCAAACGATTCCGGTACTCCGACTGAGTCTTGAGACTGTAACGATCTGCTGTGTGACAATGATGCGGCTCTTACCTACCCTGGCTTGGATGTTACCCGGGAGAACGTCAGAGTGCGTGTCGATCTTTGCTGTTTTCGGATGGCTCGGTTGCTGCTATAACCCCGCCTTGTACCTATCCCCGCTCAACGATCGACTCGAGTGGTGCGAATCCGATAGGAATGGGCGCGCCGAGGAAGGATGATGACGGTCACCTATTAGAAGACATGAACGCAGGATTTCCGCTTGTAAGTCGTCCCTTGTCCTGACCGTTGCGACTTTGGCATTTGCTTCCTCGTATCCACATCACCGATCATAAGGCGCGCCTTGCTTTGTAGCTGTTGACGAGCTGATTGTATCAACATGGTGATCTTCAAGTCAAGACAGCCGCCCATCGACTGTTCGTTTCCACTAGTCGCCACGAGACCGCATTGCTAACACTGATAGTGCCCACCGAGCTAACAGATTGGGACTGGCTATTCGATTCCGCCTACTCACCCATCAACAAATATGCACCAAATGAACTTGCTGGATTTCAAAATGCGATTACGAAAGAACGTGTGAACTGGGCTGATGTCAAGAAATACTCGACGTACATCTCTACGGCGCTTGTCAAGAAGTATGGTCTTAGAGAGGGCGAAACGGTGGCGCTCTTCAGCCAGAACACTGTGTGGTACCCAGTAGCCATGTTCGCGGGACTCCGTGTGGGAGCAAAGATTAGCGGTGCTAGCCCGGCATACAATATTGAAGAAATGACTTTTGCGCTAAAGACTGCGGATGCAAAGTTTCTTATGACGACGCCAGGTAGTATGGAAATTGCTGCGGCGAGTGCAAAGGCTGCAGGTCTACCACAATCGAATGTTTTCTTGCTAGAGGGCGAATTGCCGGGATATACCACAGTTCAAGATCTGATCCGTATGGGAGAGTCGTATGGCGAGTCTGGGCAGACATCAGCTTTCAGACTACCGCCCGGTAAAAAGAACAAAGACGTCTGCGGGTTTCTATCCTTCTCGTCAGGAACGACCGGATTGCCAAAGGCTGTTATGATCAGCCATCAGAATGTCATAGCGCAATGTCTCCAAGTTCAGCAGATTACGCCAACAAACCAGAAGAAGATCATGGCCGTACTGCCGCTTTTTCATATCACTGGACTGGTCCACCAGATGCATCTCCCTGTTCTTCTGAACGCAGAGGTCGTCATGCTTCCGCAGTTCACGATGGAGAAGATGCTCGATGTCATTGTTGAATATAAGCTGAGCGAGCTGCTGCTAGTTCCACCGATCCTCATCAGACTAGTGCGCGATCCTTTGGTCGACAAGTACGACCTTAGCCATGTCACACGCTTTTCTTCTGGCGCAGCTCCACTGTCAGAAGAGATCATCCAGCAGCTCCAAAAGAAGTTTCCCAACACAGGCTTTAAGCAAGGATATGGCATGACAGAATCGTGTTCATGCATCACTGCGCATCCACCGGAGAAGTTCTCATACAAGTACGCGCATTCAGGTGGTGCAATCGTAGCCTCCACCGAGGTCAAGATTATCAAAGACGATGGTACTGAGGGCGATGTTGGCGAAGATGGCGAAGTGCTGGCTCGTGGTCCACAGGTCGTCATGGGCTATCTCAACAATGAGAAGGCTACTAGCGACACTTTCGATGCCGACGGTTTCCTTCATACCGGTGACCGGGGCGCTATCGACGAAGAGGGCATGATTCACATCTCTGATCGCATCAAAGAACTCATCAAAGTAAAGGGCATTGGCGTCGCGCCGGCTGAGCTCGAAGATTTGCTTCTAGGCCACCCGAAGGTCGAAGACGTTGCAGTGATGAGCGTGAAGGACGATTACTCTGGTGAGCTTCCGAAGGCTTATGTTGTCTTGAAGCCAGGAACGGAGGAGAGTACAGCTATAGGAAAGGAAATCATTGAGTATGTCAAGGACAAGAAGGTGAGGTACAAATGGGTAAAGGAAGTGGAGTTCATCAGCGAGATACCGAAGAGTCCTTCTGGTAAGATACTAAGAAGAATTCTAAGGGACAAGGAGAAGAGTGGGAAATTTGGGCTTGTTGTCAAGGATGCGACAAGGGCAAGGCTTTGAAGACCGAAGACTGCGCCATAAGTAGTAAAGGTAGACTGGTTCTTCACGTTGTAATATAATACAACACAATGCAAACGGTACCGTTTTTCTACATCTTTGGAAGTCGTGACGTTTGGTTATACCGCAAAGGAGATGGTGGTGGTGAGGATGACAAATGACGTGTGAGGGGTCGGCGTTGTGCCCCTCCGACGGGGTTTTGGGCAAAAAAAGTTCCTCCCGAAGGTGCAATTCGACATTTCTAAGCAATACACTACGAGGACTCATATAACATCGTGCATACTGCAGTGCGCATTTTGTACACGTCCTGTACCTATTATTCCCCCTGCAAAAATCGTTATCGAGCAAGCCCACAACATGTCAAGCACAAACCCCACGTCGAACCAGCCTCAACACGACGAGGACGACATCGATGTACACGATGTAGACAACACACTTGATGCCGAGGAGGCCGACGAAATCGTAGAGGACGATGGCGACGTTCCCATGGACTCAGACGACGAAGGCGACGAGGGTCGCCAAGAAATGCAGATGGAGATCAACCTACAAAACGACTCGGTCGCGCATTTTGACCAACACAAGGACAGCATCTTCTGCATAGCGCAACATCCAGTGCACCACGAGATCATCGCCACAGGAGGCGGCGACGATGTCGGCTACATTGTCGACGTGTCTTCGGCGGCAGCAGCGCGACCGAGCAGCGACGGACAACCCACCGAGCGCGACGGCCTGAAGAGCATCTTCACACTAGACGGACACAAGGACTCGGTCAACGCCATTACATTCACTCAGCCAAAGGGACAATTCGTAGCGACAGCTGGCCTGGACGGCAAATTGCGTGTTTGGCAGGGCGTTCCTGACGGCAAGAAGTGGAAGTTCCTAGCAGAGGCGCAGGAGGTTGAGGAGATCAACTGGGTCGCCCCGAACCCGTCGCCCGACCACCCCAACGTTATCGCGCTTGGCGCAAACGACGGCTCGGTATGGGTGTACCAGATCAGCACGGAGAAGAACAACGAGCTACAGGTGCTACAAGCTTACTACCTCCACACCGAGACCTGCACTGCCGGCACATGGTCGCCCGACGGTTCCCTCCTCGCTACCATCTCCGAAGACTCGAGTCTGTACGTGTGGGATGTATTCGGCGATGCTGCCTCCCAGGGTCTCACAGCGACTACCGACTCACAAGCCGTGGTTGGTCTCACAGGCCTGGACGAACGTTTCCGTGTTGAGGGCGGACTATACTCTGTCGGTATCCCGCCATCTGGCGCATTCGTCGCAGTCGGTGGCCCCGAAGGTCAAATCCGAATCGTCGGTCTACCGCGCCTTTCCCTCGCCGCGCCCGCCCAAGCATCAACATCGTCGAGTGGTGGAGGCGCAAAGAACAAAGCTGGCGGAGGCAAGCAGGCTGGTGCCAAGGGCGGTGCGTCATCAGCCGGTCAAGCTGGACAGATCCTGGCCAGTCTCCAGGCAGGAAGCGACAACGTCGAGTGCATGAGCTTCTCGTCCGAGCCCCTCACCCTCATGGCCGCCGGCAACGTCGACGGCTCCATCACCCTCTTCGACACCGCACATCGCTTTGCCGTCCGAAGGCGAATAGAAGATGCGCACGCCGACGAAGAGTCCCCACAGGCTGTGGTCAAGCTCGAGTTTGTCGCCAAGGAAGGTCCAGGAGGTTGGTTGCTGACGAGCGCGGGATACGACGGTGTTCTGAAGCGATGGGATGCACGAGGCGGAACAGCTGCGGCTGGAAAGGGCCTCGTGGGCGAATGGAAGGGACACAGGGGAGGCGGTGAGGGAGGAGGTATCATGGCATTTGTACAAGGAGCTGGTGAGGCAGTTGTCACAGCTGGCGACGACCACGTCGCGCTAGTCTTCAAGACGCCCATCTCACAGTAGACACTTTTCCAGCTCAATGTTCAGGAAACACTATCTGACCTGGTATACGCGAACATCTCACTCACCCATACCGTTCTGTGTGCACGTTATCGGTTCCTGGCTACCACATACAACACAACGCCGAAAACCCGAATCAAACAAGCATGAAACCACCTACCCAAGCACGATCGAACAATCTCACAAACACGTCTGTATGGCCCCGGGTAACGCCTCCACTACCATCAACACTCTTTCCATAAGTTGCTTCATCTGGTAGGTACTATTGGTAGCGGATATAGCTTGCTGGCGGTCGTGTTCTAGATGTGCTACACGCTACGGGGCAGTGCAGGGCGTATGTGTGGGGGAGAGGGGGGAGTTTGAGCCATGGGAAGCCTGTGAGAGTACGGATGTGCGTTATTAAAAGAATGGATATCCACGTCTTGCACTACATGAACGCACTAAGGGAGAGGTGGGAAGTTTGAGAGAGCTGGTTGTGAGGGGCAATTAGATGACTAAGATGGTACATTCAATTACACTAACAGTTTCGGTATCTGTACAACTTCGAGTGCTTGGGCAGGACTACGTGTGGGTACCTCGCCATATCGACTTGACTTTTTTCGTCTATAATACAAGGGGACACAGCAATGCCCAACAACAACTCAACATTCTCTCTTGTATGTGAGATTGTCAACCCAATCTATTCATGAAACCAAAAACACGGCAAGTCGTCGTACCTCACGGGTGCAGTACCCGTCTTCCTTCCTTCGCTTAGGCATCTGGAGAAGGAATGGATCGTCCAACGGCACATGTGATGCGCGGCACAAACGTCCGCCGCGAATCCCGTACAGAGGAGCAACAATGAACCCTGGAACATGTTGTCTAGACCAGTAACGCCACTCTGTCACGGATGTAGCTACTGTGAGCGTAGTAAACAAATAAAAAAGGCTTTTCTGTTAGGGCAGTTTTTCGTAGGATACGGGCAGTTGAGTTTGGTAATGTCTTCCAAAAACAGCGGCACCGTCATCTCGCTTCCCCTTCCCCTGCTACACATGTCGTTCTCAAACGAGAGATCTCCGCGGCAACCTCATCCGCCGAACCTTTTTTCTTTCCAAACCAGAAAATCCTCTTTCGGACCGAAACGAGGAGCATTACGCGAGATAGGAGAATGGGGTGATATGACGCAATAGCAAGACCCCGTTGTCTCTGTCTCCAACGTGTCCGATGCACGAGGGGGCAGAGACCAGGAAAAGGTGCGGAATTCTGAGCACGCTAACCCAGGGTGAAGCAGTGGCGATTATCCCGGACATCATGCCCGTTGAGCAAATTTGAAGATCGCTAGGCGATAAAAGCAATTTCTCCGTAACTAATGGAGGATCATTCAGCAGGAAACTTTGTGCAGTTGTTGGTACTGGCGGAGACGGGCTGAGGCTTTCGTCATAGCTGAATGTATGGTTCACTTTTCGCTACCATATGAGAATACTACAGACCAATTGCGTTTTGAGATGAGCACACAAAGTTCAACTTCGTATATGTGCATGACTGGTTTGTTCCTACAGTATGCTCCTAGGAAACTTCCGCGATCGAGCATATGGTTCACTAGTATGTATCTATGACATGCACCTGGCAGTCTCCCCCGTTGAACCTCCACTATATTGTGAATATCTGCCGCTCGCACTCGGCATTAGACATCATTCTTGTGGAGCTAGAGAAGTCAGTTAGATTCACCGTGTACTATGGACTCGGGTTCTCTGTGGGGTATAGATTGCTAGTTTAGGTGCATGTATGTCCGGCATGAACGGGGCTGCCGCGCGGGACAAAGGACCGTTGTAGAAGGCCCGAATCAGCCTGTGGTACGCGAGAAGTTGGAATCTTGAACAGTGTTGGACTTCGTGTGCTCCGGAGAGACTTTCCGGTAGCCAATAAGAGTGGTCACTTGATACGTCATCCCTGGTTGTGGCTGACTTGACGTGTGACAAGAAGTGGAGACTGCTATACGTAGCGGGTAAGCGAGGCGCGATCAGAACGACAGGTCGTGGGGCAACAGGATGCGTGTTGTTGGGACCTGGATCGGTCAGGATGGCCAGGGAGGAATTGCAGACCATCACACCACAAGGAAGACAGTATGTTGATCAAGGTACCGTTGATGTATAGCCAACTACTTGAGAGAGATGTCTAGTAATGATCCCTCCACGTTTTGCTTTATTATGTATAAACAGTAAACTCGTAGGCGGTGAAATATCTATCCCACCTCCCGTTCAAACGCCATGTCATCAGTCGTGGCCACTGCAGCTCAAACTAGCTGGTCGTTGCAGCAAATGTAATAAAGAAAAGAAGAAGAAGCTTTTAGTTGCTCAAAGTAGGGCAAGGCCCAGGGTATCGTGAAGTGATTGGAAGAAGTGAGGAAAACTTGCAACCCAACAATCTTCACTCGGTATCGAAGAAGTCAGGGTGGTGTGGGATGCGTTAACAATAAAAGGCCTTGAATGCGAGAATGTTCAAGTTGGCTTCCTATGCCTCCAAATCATCCATGTCTTCATCGGTAAAGTCCTTGAGGAGTTCGAGGCCGCCAAAGTCATCGGCATCACCGGAACTCATGGATCCCATACTGGTCTCCCGGGCATGTTGGTGAGCGGTGCTGGGGGAAGCCATGACGGGGCTGTGATTGCTGTTGTTGAGCCGTGGTGCGGCGTGGTGGCCAGGCATACCAGGTGCAGGTGCATCCATACCGAGAAGGCCACCAGCACATCTCGCTAGGTACTCGTCGATGGCCCAGAAGCCACAGCCGGCATGGGCCAGTACTTCGTTCTTAAGATCAAGGACTTCCTCACGTAAGAGAGCTACATTCTCCTTGAGCATCTTGTTCTTTGCGGAGAATTCGCGTGCGCGGCCTTCGAGGCTGTTGATGTACTCCTTCTTGCGCTGCCTGCATTTGTGAGCAGCGACACGGTTCTTCTCGAGATGGGTCTGTCGGGCAGAAGAGACCTGGAAGGGATAGCCGTCTGCAGTGTAGGCCTCAATCATCTGAGGTTGCGACTTGGGCCTTCCCCGCTTGCGCTTCGGCGGCTGGGGGTTGCCGTCGGCATTGTCTTGGTGTTGCGGGACGGCGGCGCTAGGCAGTTCACCGGCAACCATATCCTGATTGGCCGAATCATGGCGACTAGGGCGTTGTCGCTTTGCGGGCGACATGTGTGGCGAGGGTTCTTGCTTGGGCCTTAGGGCGGTCTCGTTCCGCAATTCGTCGAAGGGAATTGAGCCTTCGCGATCTTCGCGATTGGGTTGAACTGGGGAGTGCTCTTCTGGCGGGGTGACTTGACCATAGCGCTCCATTGTGGCGTGTGTAAGCAGGGAAGGTGGAATGGAGATGGGCTGCTGGGGCGGCATAGAGGTGGAATTGCTGAAGGCAGTCGCCCACTTGGCTTGCTGTGGGCTTGCGTTGGACTGTTGCATGGCAGTGAAAGCATCGCCAGCCCAGTCAAATGAATATGACTGTTGGATTGCTGTCATGGTGGATGGCGGTGTGTTGCTGCAGTGAAGTGATGGTGATGGTGATGGTGTGGTGTGGTGTGGTGGGGGAATGTGTCGTGCAGCCTGAGGCTGGGGCCTTGTTATAAGTAGGAGGACTGGCAATTGCAGAGCGGAGAAAAGGACGAGAAAGGGCAGGTGAACGTTGATTTCGAAGGAGCAGATTTGGGCAAAGCGGATGGAGACGGAGAGGTTAAAAGTACCGCAGAGGGAAGATCGCCTGGCATGGGAATTCAAACAATGGGGCTTTGGCAACATGCGGAACTGAGGAAAGCGATTTGGACGAGCAGGGGCAGGGACAGGGGGTCATGCGATTGGTGTGTAGCGCGCCGAGTTACGTAGTGTGTCTTCCAGATCGACGATGTGTAGGGTAATCGTGACCCAGCCTGCGCCAGTATGGGAAACGCAGGCCTGGATCTCGATCCTTTTGTCGCAGCCTGCAAAGCTTTCTCATCTATCGATTTGCACTCCGTGCTGACTTTACTGTGTTTTGAATATGCGCTTGTAGTGATGTTGCATCCAAGCTGGTGGTCCCGCTTGTTCTCCAGATGGCTGGCTTCAGTCCTCTCCCGACGCCGTCGAAAAACCGGACATTCCCAGGTGCGGATTATTCCCGGCCATAGATGGCTCTGCCCCAAATATCTGTCTGCGTAGTTTGCTAAGTTGCTAGAGAGTTTGCGCAGCCACGGGCAGCTATCCCGAATCGTTCCCACAGCACAAGACTGGGCCAATGACGATGACGTTCCAACGGCTCGCTCCGCGGGACAGGTTGACGGTCAACTGTCACGCTATGGCTCCACATTAACCGTCCACGGCCATCTTCACGAAAACTCGCTCCTCACCAATCAACGCGGCATTTGCCTGCTGCTCCACCTCAGCTTGAACCTCGCGAGAGCTGAACGAGCATTGTATCAAACGCCATGCTAATCAAGCGTTCCCAGCTCTAACTCTCACTCGCAGACGCCTTCTGCGCTCATCCTTCCGCATAGGTGCTAGCAGGTACCGGGGTTGCCAGTTAGCCAAAACTAACAGATAATCCGTAGATCCGTAGCGCACAACAACAACAGGCCACAGTACTTTGCCTCCAATACGCTTGCATGCATTCTGTCGATCACTAGATGTAAGCCCGGACAAGGTTCGCCCCCTCCGATGCAGAAATGGAGACATGGATCGAAGCGCATGGAAAAGTCGTCTACTCGACATCGGGAAGTTGCAAATTGCCATGTTTTGCTTTGAAATCCGATCAGACCCCGCCCCAACCAAGCCATTTTTGCATCATCGTACATTAGCTCCATGTTCCATCTAGATGCCGCTTCACTCATCACCCTGCAAATTGACGTATCATGCTCGGAAGACGCTCGCTTTATGCCTTTTCCTACCTACTCAGTTGACCATGCGGGAAATATCTCGTAGCACTTCACCGCAGCTTGTAGAAAGCCGTTATTGTGGTTTCTAGGCTTTTTTGTACCCCACATAAAAGAGTTTTACGAAACTGATCCTTTGTCTATCGTATTTGCCCTTCGGGTAAATATGCAGTCGGCGGACACGCCGCGTCTGAGTGCCCGGGCAAACTGCGAAGTGTCATTTTTTGTACTTCGTAGTACCCTTTCCTGGCATGCCCCACTGTCACTTCCATGCTGCTGAACCCTAATTGCAGACTAGGGAATTGTGGGTACCGTACCTAACTTTAGGGCTGCCAAAATCATTGCCAGAGCTGACATTGGATAGTGGGCCTTTGATCAACGGCCCAAGAGTTTCCGCTCAACGCCGTACGCCGTTGCGCCGCGCCTAGTTATTGGCCGACTCTTGCTACGGTGTGATGCTTGCAGAAGCCATCGTATGGCGTGGGTTATTTGGATCTTCTAGAGAGATCGACCTCTGCAAGACAGTCTAGATTATGCAAGAACCATGGTCTATGGGCACGACAGTGTAGCTCGAAAGATAGGTATGGAAAATGTGCTGTATCTGCAACAGAGCTGTGTAGACCTCTTCCAATTACCATGTCGCCTTTATTCTTGTGGCCGCCTGTGGAATGTTGCCTGGACGTTACACTGCCGTTGGGTTTGGAAGATGAGCTATTTTAACGCTGGGACAGTGACATCCCAGAGTTGCGGAGGTGTTCGATCTGAGACAAACTAGTAAAAGTGACAAGAAACCTTCTCAGTAAGTCGATAGATGATGAAGAGGTGACGATGAGACCACTCAAGCATAGAATGCTCATAATGTTCCTCGTCGCAATCATTCGGGTAGAGTACAGATGTCGATATCAGCACTCTAATTCTTTGTAAGCCTAGCGCTCAGCCACACAGGCATGTCTGCTACAACGTTGGAGGTTTTCGTGACGACGTCACGTGGGATGATTGATGCGCGGAAGACGATTGGGGTTAGCATGTCTTGGCAGGAAAGCGCGACGCGCACCGCGTCGTCGGTGCAACAGTGGGCAAACACGAGCTCACCATCACCACCGCAACCCCGCTATGTCCTGAAGTTTCCCATCGCGATCGCATACACATACCATACGCGACCGCCAATTCCACCCGATCCGATCTCTCACGCGCCGTGATCGCGCTCCACCGCCGCGATGGGATACATCAAGCAGATAACGATCCAGGGCTTCAAGAGCTACAAGGAGCAAATGCAAATCGAGCCTTTCTCGCCCAACTGCAATGTCGTCGTTGGTCGCAATGGATCTGGAAAGAGTAATTTCTTTGCCGCTGTGCGCTTCGTGCTGGGCGACGATTACCACAACTTGGGTCGTGAAGAGCGTCAGGCGCTGCTACACGAGGGATCTGGTTCAGCCGTCATGTCAGCATACGTGGAAGTATGCTTCGACAACACAGAGGACCGCTTCCAGACTGGCAAGCCCGAATTCTTCTTGCGCCGGACCATTGGCGCAAAGAAGGACGAGTACTCGGTCAACCGCAAGAACGCTACCAAATCCGAGGTCATGCAGATTCTTGAATCTGCTGGCTTTTCACGGTCAAACCCATACTATATCGTTCCACAGGGTCGTGTTACGGCGCTCACCAACATGAAGGATTCTGAGCGCTTGAAATTGCTGAAAGAAATCTCCGGTTCCAACGTATACGAAGAGCGACGCGCAAACAGTTTGAAGCTACTAGCCGAAACCGAGAACAAATGTTCCAGCGTTGACGTTGTAATTGAATCCATCAATGGGCGTCTAAATGAGCTCGAGGGTGAGAAGGAGGAGTTGGAGGCGTGGAGCAGGAACGACAGGGAGCGCCGGTCGTTGATGTACGTACTGAAGTCGCGCGAAGAAGCCGATCTGGAGGCCTTGATCGAGAACATTGATCACCTCGAGAACCAGGGTCGTGAGATGAAAGAGAGCAACGAGGCAGCCTTTGTTCAAACCGAGGCAGACATTGCGCAAATCGACATGGACATCAACCGACGCAAAGGTGACCTAGACGTCCTTCGAGAGGATCGTGTGCAGTCTGAACAGGAACGCAAGTCGGCGACACTGGAAAAGGCCAAGATCGAGCTTGAGCTCAAGGCGTTGCAGGACAACCAGTCAGTCACCCAGCGAACGAAGAAATCGCGGGACACGCAGATCAAGTCACTCCAACAGCAAATACGCGCACGAGAGGCGGAGCTCAAGCAGCTGCTTCCTCAATACACTGCCAAGAAGGAAGAGGAGGAAGCTGTCAGATCGCAATTGCTCGAAGCTGAGGGCCAACAGAAGCGGCTGGAGGAAAAGCAAGGTCGTACAGCATTCTACACGACCAAACGACAGCGAGATGACGCATTGCGTGCTCAGATTGAGGCTGCCAACGCCGACCTTAGCCGCCGCAAAGCCGTCCTCATGCAGACCAAGGAGGAGATTACTCAGTTAGAGAGCGATGTCGAGCGTCTTGAGAATGAGATTGCTGAACTCAGGTCAAACATCGAGAGCGAGGGAGACGCAAGTGTCAATCTTGCGGCCAAGGTTGAGCAAGCGAAAGACGCCTACAAAGCTGTACACGATGAGCAGACGAGTCTCTACCGAGAAGAGAACAGAGTCAACACTCAACTTACAAACTCACAAGCCGAGCTTCGGAAAGCGGAAAGCGCCTTCTCCCGGCTACTTGATCATGGCACAAGCCGGGGGCTGGAGTCTCTCCGTCGGTACCAAAAAGAAGGAGAACTGGAGGGAGTACATGGCACCATCGCAGACCTGCTCGATGTCAGCAACGACTACAGGGCCGTCACTGAAGCAGCAGCTGAGGGTGCACTCTTCAATGTTGTTGTAGATAACGACGAAGTGTCCACGAGGCTGATCGACAGGCTTATCAAGGACAAGGGCGGACGTATTACTTTTATTCCCCTCAACCGCATTCGGACTCATGACTTGGACCTTCCTGCGACCGGCGACATGCAGCCGCTGTTACCGAAGCTGAGGTATGACGAGAGATTCGAGGATGCTTTCAGGCATGTGTTCGGCAAGATCGTGGTCTGTCCTGACCTGACTGCCTGCAAGAAGAACGCAAAGCAATACAACGTCCGTGCGTATACTCTCGACGGAGATAACGCCTCACGGAAGGGACAGTACCGAGGTGGTTACCACGACATGTCTAAGTCAAAGATTCGGGCTTATCAAGCACTGGCTGAAATCCGCACTCAGTACGACGAGTTGCAGCAGCGGAAGCGGGACATTGCTATAGAACTCGAGCAAAAGCGTCAGCAGCTTACCGCAGCACTAAGCGAGGTTCGCAGACGGGAACACGAAAAGGACAAGGGCGAGAACAGCTACGCGCCCATGCGAGAAGAAGTACGCGTGAAGCAGAGGATTCTGCGAGATACCCAGGATAGCCTCGCGAGGAAACAGACAACCGCTTCGTCATTACAATCAACAATCAACCAGCTAGGCGCGCAACAGAGCGACTGGGAGGCGGAAATTGCTTCCAAATTCGAGAAGGCGCTGTCAAATGATGAGGAGCAGATGTTGATCACGTTACGGAGCACTGTGCAAGACCTGAGACGGC